TCGATAGATAATAGATCAACAGAGAGTAGATGATAGATAGACGATAGGTGATTGGTAGAAATACAACACGAATCATAGGATGTGTATATTTTTAATCACCAAACCCTTTTTCAAATATGCCCAATATTTTTCAAACCTATCACCTCAATTTACTTCCACACCCACCAGCAATGTTTGAGGGCTAGAGTTTTTCCACATTTGGCATTGCAACACTTCTTTCTGTCAATTCTTTTTAAGTTAGCCATTCTGCATGTGCATAATTCCCCATAGTCCACATAGCTGTGGTTTAAATTTTCGCTTTACTCATGACTAAGGAGGCTGAGCATCTATTCAAGTGTCTGTTGGATATCTTCTATCATGAAGTTTCAGGCCATGTCTTTTGTCCATTCTTTAGATTTCTAAGTTTAGACCTTGTCCATTTGTTGATTTTCTGTCTTTTTATTATGAGTTAGTAGAGGTATTTTCTGTATTCTGAACAGGAAGCATCAGGTGTGCAAATTGAAATACCTTCTCATAACCTGTGGTTCTCCTTTCCACTCCCTTAAAGATGCCTTTGCATGAAAAGAGCCTCCTGATTTTAATATGGTCCATTTATCAGTATGTTCTTTTATGGTTTGTCCTTCGGTTTCCTGTTTAAGAAAACTTCTTTAAACCATCCATTTCAGAGCAATCTGAAATGTGAAATCTGTGTGGGCTGGAAGACTTCACAACCAGACACAGTTTTTTTTAAGAGTTTATTTACTTAGTTATTTGTCAGAGAGAAAGAGAGAGAGTGAGCACAAATGGGGAAACAGTGGGCAGAGGGAGAAGCAGGCTCCCCACCGAGCAGGAAGCCTAACGCAGAACTCGATCCCAGAACCCTGGGATCATGACCTGAGCCAGCTGAAAGCAGATACTTAACTGACTGAGGCACTCAGGCATCCCACAACCAGATATAATTTAAGGCCTCAAATGATTCCTGTTGGGGCCAGATGGGAAGAAGAACATCGTAGGTGGATGGGACGCTCTATTTGAATACAGAGATAAGAGAGCAGGTGGTGTGAAGGAAGGAGTAAAGAAGCAGTTTTGCACTGTTTCCAGGGGTGGCAGAGGGACCTCCCTCCTTCAGTGCCAGGAAGGTGGTATTCTCTTCCTCTGCAGGCTTGCCTTTCTCTGGAGAGAGCCAGCCTGGTGGGCAGAAAATGCCAGGCACTCCCTTCTCATCAGCCTCTCCAGCAGTCAGAGGTCTGTTCTGTAAAGTGGCAAGCTTGTACTATCTGAATATTCCTTAGAGCTTTAAAAGAATGAAATGAGACAGACAGAGAGAAAGGTAAGTCCAGGGTGCCCCAGCCCTGCTTTCCTGAGCAGTTTTAGTTTTAAGCTGTGATAGAGGATGGCTTGCCAATAAGTAATTCCATGAGAATAGACCTCAGTGGGTAAACAAATCTCTGAAAACCGCAACATTGCATAGTGCAGGCAATTCCAGGATGTTCTGATCTAAGAGGGCAGGGTGCTAAGACTTTCCAGAGCTCCTGGAGGCAGCTTGCAGGATGCTTGGAGGCCAGGATGCTGCAGCAACAAAATGATCCTAAAATCACGGATTCTATAGTTCTGGGAGACTTCTATTGTATAAAGATCATTGGGCTGGAAAAGAGCTAGCTGCAGGTCCACTCTTAACATAACCGACTCGAGTCTGATCTCCACAAGCTCCCACTCTGAGCAGAGGATACCATCCGTCTGGAGGTCTCATCACATAATCCCAGAAGGGCTCAGGATTCCTTTCCCCAATGTGGAGTGGCCCTGGTTATGTGGCAACCAGCTCCTCTGGGGAAGGCTTAGTAAAGCCTATGAGCTTCCAGATTTAGGAAAAATATTGCCAAGGGCTAAGTTATGCTACAAAAATTACTCATTGTTTATCTGAAACTCAAATTTAACCAACTATCCTGTATTTCACCTGGCAACCTGGCATTGCGGGGCCCCTTCCTGGTCTTCCTGGTCAGGGGTTTCCAAGTCTCTGCGCCGGTTTGGATCTGGTAACTAGGCAACAGGCGATGAATCTCTCCTATAAGAACTTATATTGGGTTTCTGCCCATGAAATCTGGAATTTTCTGCCTAAAGTCAAGCAGCATCTTGTAAGCATCCCATCCATTTCATGCTTAGAGATCCCATAATCACTACGGTAGATCCCTGCTGTTTACCCCTCCAGCCCTGTGGCTCTTTGGGATAATCGTACCCACCTTGTCTCTACTGCTCATTAAGCAGCACTGTCCTGCCTCTCCCACCCTGGATCCCACTCTTCCCACCGAGATCCAAACCTAGATGACAACATGGTTTCCCTAGCATGGGCCCCTTCCTGGTTAGAAATGGAGGTTATTGCCACTGTGCTGAGCACTTTCCCTGCATTACCTTCCACTCCGACATCACAACAAGGTAATAGTTAACCATCAGCTTCCTCCCAGAGGCTCAGAGTGGTAAGCAATGTGCCCCAAGTCACATATATCCACGAGTACCATGGTGGATATAGGATTTGAAGCCTTCCTGGCTGACTTCAGATCCCAGGCTCCTAAACGGTCTCCTAATGAGATATACCAGGTCCTGAAGCAGAGGTAAGGACAGACAGACGTCCTGATAGCCAGGAGGGTTTGGATGTCCCTTCACCCACTCAATTTGGAGGAAAGTTCAGGGTGCATGTGTAGGACTGGCTACGAGTGAGAATAACACTCAAGGCTCAGGCGGTCCCATTCATCGATCGAGGCGTCCTTGCTGAAAATTCGGGATTCAGTGTGTTAGCACAAGTACCCACAAGCGAAGTTAACGCTCGGTTAGATGGGCTGATCAGAGGCTAGGCTTAAAAGGAAGACTACAGCTAACGAGGCTCTAATGCTGGGACTTCCCTGGGATGTTAGGAAGGAGTCCAAAGGCTCAAGCAGCTCAGCCGTCCACTAACTGCACTGCCCAGGGAGTTCCGGCAGACACATTCCTTGTCAGGTTCTCTGGTGGCTTCGCTAGAGATCAGAGATGGCCACGGGTATGCTGTAACTCCGTGATTCTCAAACTTGGGTGCACAGCAGAATCACCGGCAGGCTTGTTAGAACACGGTCTGCCACACCCGTGATGATTTAAGTAATCACGCTGCCAACAGATGCTTTTATGATGCTTCCAAAATGTATGAGCAACCCAGTCCCAGAATCCCATGTGGAAGGACCATTTCCAGGAACCGGTTCTGGTCCTGGGTCCAAACCTATGCCAGTCAGGGTCCTAGTAAGGAACAGGTTACACTTAAATTTGAATGACCTGGGAATGGACCGATAAAGAGGCCATTTAGCAAGATGCGGGCTGAGTGTCACCACAGAGCCAAAGCAGTGTTTTAGTACCCTGAGGCTAGAAACAGTGGGGGGGGGGGACTGCCCCTAGAACCAAGGACCAAAGTTCAGGCAATGCCCCCCAGGAGAGAAATGAAAGCCATTGGATGAAGGCTGATTCCAAGCTGATGCCCAGGAGAGGCAGCAAAGAGAACAGCTCCTCACCTTACTCTTCCCTCTCTCCCACACCCCGAGGGGCTCCCTAGTGCCCAAGCCCAGGCTGGACCCAAAAGACCTGCAGTCCCACTGGGATGTAATCCACACAGGTCGGCTTCCTGGGCCAGAGAAGAGGATGGACAAGAATGGAATGTGTGTTCGGAGGGAAAGTCTTCCTTTCTCATGTCGTTCTTACCAAGTGTTTGTGTCAAAGTTACGTAAGACTCGTAACATGTGTTGGAGTGCACACTCTTTCGATTTTCTCGGGAACAAATTGTGTAAGACTGGAATTATTAGTTTTTGGAATGCTTGAAGGAACTAGCTATTAAAGCCTTTGGAGCTAGAGGATGTTTTATGGGAGGATTTTCAATGACTGATTCCATTTTTCAGTAGTTTTAGAATTACTCTTTTTTTTTTCCATTTTTCTTTGGCAGTCTGGTAAGTTATATTTTTTTAGGAAACCGTCGATTTCATCTAAATTAAATTTATTGGCCTAAGGGTCTGATTTTCCTTCTGGCGCATAGGGGCTCTGTGGTGACACCTTCTTCCTTCGTCCTGCTGTGGCGACCTGTGCTTTTTGCCTTTTTCCATGGTCAGTCTCTGGAAAGCATTGTCCTAGCTCTTTATTCCCGTGCTTTTACCCTCACTGGACTTGTTTTGTTAGAGGGGGAAAGGCCCTCTAGACTAGAAAGCCAAGGGGAAAGGATTCCATGCAGGTGCAGAATGTAAGCAGAGTCTGGGAGCCAGGAGGAAGCATGGGAAAGGACCACTCAGGCCAAGTGGTTTGCCAGGTGGTCTCCTGCAGTCCAAGGCCTTTCCCCCTCCCACTGGGGCCATGGGGGACCCCCTCACCAAGCTCCAGCTCAGCTACATGTTCCTGACAGGGGGAGATCAGGAGGCAGGCACAGAAGCAAGAGCCCGCTCTGCTCTACCCTGCAATTCCCTTCCCGGCAACAGCTCTAGAAACCCCATGGTCCTTCCAGAAAACAAGCAGCCTGGACACATCAGTGGGCTTCACACCATATCCCCTTGGGCCTGAGTGGCAGAAGGGGACACTAAGCCCTTGTCCCTAGAATTTGGCTTTGATTCACCTCAGGTATGAGACCTCCACATAAAACCGCTTGGAGAAAGTCTTCTGCGCTCAAGACAGTGGGGGAGGCCGTGGTGATCGTATGTAAACAGAGCAGCTTTCTCTTCTGGCACCATCACTCACTTCCCACAAGGCTCTGGGCTAGTGACTTCGGATCCCCGCGCCTCAGCTTTTTCACTCACAAATGGGCATGAGGGTAACGGGTTGCACCCAGTCCGGACTGAACACATCACCCGTGGAAAACCCTCACACCACGCTCTCTCTCCGGTTGTGTGGAAAGCAAGGCCACAGAACGACTCCTTGGATCACACCCGTGGAGACTGGTGGCCCATCTGTGCACCTGCTTCCGCTCTGTGGCCTGGGCAGCGGGAAGGAAACAGGGCCTACCCGGCTGCAGCCCACAGCTTCCTTCTTAAAATTCCTGGAAAACTCGGGTAACCAACCTCCAGCTCAGCACATTCAGGAGCACCCTGCATCTTAACTACACCATGACCCTGCCCAGGCAGACATCCCTCAGGGAGCTCCTACCCTCTCTGCTCCCTATAAAAAGCATGTAGAGCCTCCCGTGCTGCAAAGAGGCTGAGACCGGCCCAGACACTCCTAGCTCTCGTTCCCTGCTTCCCGCCGACATGAAGGTCTCTGCTACGCTTCTCGGCCTGCTGCTCACAGCCACCGCCTTCAGTCCCCAGGTGCATGCCCAGCCAGGTAAGCCCCTCTCTCCCTCTTTCCCGTCCTCTCACGTTCTTTTTGTTTTCTTCTCCTTCTAACAAGCCCAAAGCTGAAATGCCCCACTTCTGAGCCTATCCGAGCAGTGGGAGTTGTCAGAGCTTCACGTGAATGTCTAGTTTTAAAGATGGGAAGCCGAAGGCCAAGTTGAGGGCAGGAGAGGCCCCACCCACCCACCTCCAGCCTTACAGAGCCAGAGGGAAACCTAAGCTGCTCACTCCAAACCCAGGGCCTTTTCTCTGAGCCTAGCTGAGCTTCCCAAACTCTGTACCTAGAGCACTAGGGCTAGGACCTGTCCCACCGGCCTGCCCGGGTCAGCAACGATGCGTTGCTACGACATTCCTGCTCTCCCCCTGTCTCAGGGCTCCGGGCAGGCACGATGGACCTGAGGTGGATAAGATCCATGTCGACCCCTTTCCCTTCCTTTCCTTTCTTCCCTTCCCTTCCCTGTCCTCTCCTCTCCTTTTCTTTCCTTTCCCTATAGGCGCTTCCTGCTGCATTCAAGCTGATAAAAAACTAGCTTTTTCTCTGTGACCTTATTTCTAGACGCACTCAGCTCCCTATTCACTTGCTGTTTCACATTTAACAATAAGAAGATCCCCCTGCGGAAGCTGGAGAGCTATCGAATCACCAGCAGTCACTGTCCCCGGGAGGCTGTCATGTAAGTAGAAAGACCCTGCTCACTCCCTCCCTGACCGCACCCCACCCCATGCCCATGCCCCCTGATCTGAAGTTCCACCCCAGAAGACAGACCTATTAGGGATCTCGTACCCAGGGGTAAGATTTTACCAAACCATGATTGCATCATAAATGAGCCCAGAGAGGATGGGCTCCCAGTCTCCACGTTGCTTTGGCCGAGGCCAGGCCGGCTTCTCCAGGGCCTCCGAGAAAAGTGATTACTTCCAGGATCCCCTTCTTTCCACACCGCGGCTTCCTCCTGTCCCTGGGAGGATCCCTTCCCTGCAGCGGGTGGACCAGATGGGCTCAAGAGTGAGTGAGGCATCTCTTGGGCAAAATCCTCATTTCCACCTAACTGTGAAGCCCTCCTTTGTCCACAGCTTCAGCACAAAACTGGCCAAGGCTATCTGTGCTGACCCAAAGGAGAAGTGGGTCCAGGATTATGTGAAACATCTCAATCAAAAATCTCTTGCCCTGAGGACTTGAACTCTTCCAGTCACACTAAGACCCAGCCAAGTATGAGAAACAAACAACTGTTTTTCCTCCTCCAGACTCCCCAGCTAGACCCTGGACTAATTTTACTATAGTTTCGAATAGGGTGCTTTCTGTTTTGTGACGCAAAAAAAAATGTATTATGCCTTAAGCAATATTTAATGTTATTTGAATCGTTGCTGGTTTGGGGTTTACTTTGAATATTGGGTTTTGTTTTTTTTTAAGTAAGGCCTTGAGCCGGTTGCTTCCTGTCCTAAGCCCCGGTTCCTTCCCTTGTAAGCTGCAGGCAGTGTGGCTGACTCCCGCCCAATTCCCCAGCCATCGCGTGTACCTACAAATCACGGAGATGAAGGGCTACTGCCATCTGGGGCGGGGAGGGCCTTGGGAATGTGAGGTTCAGCTAAATTTGTTAGTACTGAAAGGAGAATGCCATTCCAAGGATTGTTTACTTTTTGCAGAAAATACATGGTGTTTAAAATCTCTTGTAGTGGTGTTTTCTTGGGGGGGGGGGGGGGGGTAGCTTCCAACCAGTAGGGGGCGCTCCAAGGCGGGGTAGCCGGTGGCTGGCAGAGGGAGCTGGAGGAACAGGCTGTGGGACGGACCTTTTCGGTGGTTGGTGGCTGACCTGGGCTCATTTGACTGCTGCAGAGGACCCAACCCAGCCGCCTCGCATGTTCTAGAACAATGACTCCAGCCCCTAACATCAGCTTCTAACTGGTCTCTGCCACCGTGCCTCCCCGCTCCAAGCGGTCCTTGAAGTGATCCAGGCGCCACAAGCACCTGACCTCCAGGGGGAAAGTGAGATGACCTGGTCCTAGTTAGCATCCACCCAGGAGGATGCCAGGGCACGGTCATAACAGAGATTCTTCTAGAAAAGGCCCAGGATGGAAAGGCAGGAAAGAGGGCCTGGAGGGAATATGCCGTATGGTCAGAGTTTGGCTTCCAGAACAGAAAAGGTAGAGTCCTTTAGAGAGGAAACTGGAGGTGTGGTTGTAGAGGAATTGGAGCAGCAAGGTGCGGAGTTTAGAGTCCGTCCTGAGACCGTCGGAGGGTGGAGGGCAGCGGCAGGCCAGGCAGAGTGGTCTGGGGCCACGGGCAGGATGGATTTAGCTAGGGGGAGCTGAGCACAGCTCACTGCTCCACAGTGGTCCCAGCGAGAGGGAAGAGGAGGAAGCAGGGCGGTCGTAGGGCGGCGCAGAAGGCAGGAGGCAGCTGAAGAACAGACCAGACCTGTGACACATGCAATGCTGGGAAAAGGAGAGACGCCTCTCCCAGCACGGTACACGGCAACTTCTCCCACTGAAGCCACCGAGCTGGTCTTCCAAAGGGGGCCAATCCTGAGATTCTGGGCAATCAGCAAATCACATCCCCCCCCCCTTGCTGTTCTCCCTAGGGGCGCGTCGGAGTTTTTGGTTACCCCTTCATGAGGGTGGGGTCTCTGCTTCCCAGATGTTGGCAAACGGTTCTCCGGCTCTCCCCCAGACTGCCTCCCTCCTGCATGTGAGCTGGGCTGGCATTTCTGTAAGACCTAGGATCCACTCAGGCCTGGACAAGAGGAGGTCCGCTAAACAACTTTGCAGGATCTGCCTGATTGACAGACTGTCCCCACCCCACCCCCGTACCCCTGATGCTGTGTCAGGCCATCACTGGGCAACTTGGGAAACAGGAGAGCTTTCCGGCCCCAGAGACAGGAGTCCTCGGCTCTAACACCAGATCTGACTGGCTCTGTATCCTCAGGCCCGTCTTTGTCCCTCGCCAACTGTCAGGTACCTCATCTATGAAATAGGGCCAGCAACATCTTACAGATGGTTGACCTCACAAGGTCCCCTCCAGCTACACCAGCTGTGGTTTCTGGAACCCCAGCCCTGAGTTCCCACTTTCTGCTTCACCGTGCCCTCTGCTGCTGTCAGGAGAAGCCAAGAATCTTTATCATGGCCCTGACCAAGCGTTCATCCCCACCCAGCCCCCAAAAGACAAAGCCAGTCAGCTGAGACGTGTAAGCCATTTATTGGTTCTTGGGGACAAGAAGTCAGGTTTTTTTGGCATCAGTACCAACATATCTCCCATCCCCCTGTGGCCACCAGCCCCTTGGCCCCAGCTTCTCACTGCCAGTCAAGTTTATACCCTGAAATCCCTGTGGAATCCAAGAAGCCCAGGGAAGCAGGGATTGAAGATTCTGGCATTTAAATATATAAAGTGCAACAACATAGCTTATCAGGACTGAGCAGACCCTCTGTGACCCGGCAAAGCTGGGCAGAAGGACCGGGGTGGGGTGGGGGGCTGGGGAGACAGGGGAAGTCACGCCATCTTCAGAGTCCAGGGTGGAAAGAAACCCTCTCACGTTCACTTCACCCGGCACGGTTTCGCAGTTTTTAAATGACGCTTAACCCATGCGGCTGAGTCTGAGACACACGTCTCTCGGCCACCCTTCAGCTTGATTCTGTGGGCAAAGAACAAAGGGGGAGCTGGGTCACATGATTTGCCCCTGGGCTGCCACACACATTCCCATCCTCCCTGCCGCCCCCCCCCCCGAGGATGCCCCCAAGCTGCTTGCTCTGGGCCTGTAAAATAAAGGCACTGCAGGAGACCTGGGGGGCGCATGGGAGGGATAGGCTGGGAGGAACACCCAAGCTTCAGGGAGAGTTTATTAAATTGAGTTTCTCCCTTTTCTGGAGAGTGTGATTCATTGTATTTGGGTAGGGTAAAGGCTGCAGACACTCAGGATTAGCTAGTATGGAAATTTCACTCCTAGAATATCTCTGAGGGCCCTCGATCCATCTTTTCATGTGTCTATGTCCATCTGGAACCCTCACTCGTTGCTTTAGATTCATTGTGAGTGTGCGTGTGTGTGTGTGTGTGTGTGTGTATTTATTTTCTGACCTGCCCACCCCTTTAACTTGGCGGCTGTCCAACCAAACTATAGACCAATTCTAACTTTAATTATCTGGGTGACCGCAGACCAATCTATTTCCCTGAACTTCGGTGTTCATGATTATGTAAAAGGGTGCCCCCCTGAAGGCTAGCCAAGGTAATACACATGAATGCTTTATAGATACCCAACAGCAGGGGTAAGCCACCTCCATCTAACTTTGTAATGACCCCGTGACGCAGCTCTCATCTCTACTCCACTTCACAGATAAGGAGTGTAGAGGAGTACCCAGATAATGAGGTGTTGAAGAATCACCTGCCCAGGGTCACCCAAGACTCGGGGTTGGCAAATCTGGAAGCAGAAACTAATTGTGACCCCCTCGTTTTTCCACTGCACAGTAATTCCTAGACCCTTTAAGCCATTTCTTCTTCTGGGCATAAAATATTAAGACATAATACTCAGTTCCTTGGGGTTCCGAGAAACACAAGTCACTGCAGGAGCATGGGGCAGGGGAGACGGTGGGTATCTTTCCCGGCACCTGCTACGAAGCGCGGCGCTCTCCCTAGCGCCCATGCTGGGCTCTGCACCCAGATTTTGGCGGCTTGTCTCCAGGTTTAGAACTCACTCACAACCTGGCGGAACAGCGCCATCTAGCGTCTGCCTTTCTAATTCCAGGAGGGTTGGTTGCTCTCTGGAGCGGGGAGTCAGGCTGACCCGGTAGGAGCACTCACATTAGACCCTTGTGGAAGCAGGTAGAGCTGGTGGGTTTGTAACACTGGATTATATGCTGGGGAATCCTTTTCTCCGCAAAGACGAAGCAACAGTTGGAGGATGACACATGCACTGGAAGAGAAGCAGAAAAATGGTTTGCATCTGTTTTTTAACATGGACTTCATTCCTCTCATCCCAGTGGTTTAAAAAAAAAAAAATCCCTTTCAGGGACAGACCCAGGCTTGGGGACCACACCCAGTCCAGTGGCTGTGTCATCCATCACCTAGTTCTGTATGTAGGCAGAGGGTCGGAACACAGGTTCAGATCCCGGCTCCCCACAAACCAGTTGTGTGGTCTTCAACAGGATGAGCCCTCGCCTGGGCCCCAGACTTCCCGTCTGTCAAATAAGACTCTTTAAACTGATTTCTAAAGGTACTTCCAGTTCTGTCGTCCCACCATGAGTGCACAGTTCTGGCCCGATATTTGGGTTCGAGAGCTCTGGACTCCACACTCTGCGGTGCCCAGTGAGTGTGGTGCATGCAGGGGCAACTGTGGTCCATGGCTTTGGGGCCAGATTAGGAACTGCTCAAGGAGTTCCAACTGATGGAAGGACAAGGAAACAGCTTCCAGGAACTAAGAGGCTTCCTACCCTCTCTAGAATGGTCTCTACCCAGGCCTGTAGCTCTGTCTGGGTCTCCCACCCCCACTGTGCGGGTTTGCACTCTCTCCCCCACACCCCACCCCCAAGAGACTCGAATTCCAATCCTGATTCCTTCCTCCTAGTTTTATTGTTTGCACAATGTCTTACATGTGCCTGGAATTAGGTCCGTCTTCTCTCGAGAGCCTTGAGGTCCAGCATTATCAGTCCCATTTTACCAACAAGGAATGCCCAGTTGGAGAGGTAGTCACTGGCCCAACACTTGCCCGACAGTGATGAGCACACTGTTCCAGTCCCAGTCCTGACATGAGACTCTCCTTGTTACATGCCACCAGGTAGAGGCAAGACCCAGTCCTTCCTGTGCACCTCAGGCCTCCCAGTTTGTCCTAAAGGGCCTCAGAGTTCCCTGGACAAGGCAGGGCCTCCTTTTGCTAAAGCCAGCAGCTCAGAGGTTATGCTCACCAGACACCTGCTCCCACCGGCCTCTGTCCCCACCCCATCCACATTCTCCATTCGCCCTCTTTAGGAGAAATTCTTCCCGGAGGAGGAGAGACAAAGGCACTGAGTTCAAGGCGACCCCTGCTCGCAAGCCCAGAGTGCCTGCCTGGGTGTCTGTCCCCACCCCCCACGCTCCCACCCTCAGGAGGAGCAAAGTGACTCCATCCACACTCACTGCTCCTGCCGTCCGCATCCCGAAGCCACAACCCAGCCAGCAGCAGGCACGCCAGGGCCATGGTGACCAGCTTCATCCTGCAGAGTGTGGGTCAGACCTCTTTGCAGTGGTCCCGATGTGTCTAGTGAAGCTAATACCGATCCCGTAGGGCCTGGAGCTTTTATTAGAAGACCTGAGTGGGGTTTCCCAGGCCCTGGTGCAGAGGTGGGGAAG